GTCTGTGGAGAGCTTGACACTCCTTCTACATTACGGAATCCTTTAGGAATGCTTGTTCGAGTTGGTTGTTTGTGTTTTGTTTTCCTTTTATCTGCATCCATCATGCAAGATTTTTCTACTAAGTCCTTCAATGCAAAAAGGGTTCAATTTCAGCTTGCTTTTCTTCTCAGTTTGCAATTCATCTAGTCAGTTTTTCCAGATGCCCTTACAAAGAATCTCCGTGCTTCACGTATTCCGCCTTATCCAACTTTTGTATCGTCTCATTTTTTACTGAGCCTTTAGCAAATTTATATCTCGCTAGATGGTTTTTAAAGCTGTATCTGCTGGCTTTTTTATCCCATCTTGACATCTTCTCTCTTACCACTTTCACCTGTGAGATTTTTAACTTTTCCTCTTGTAAGGTTATACTTTCAGATTACCAGCAATCCCTTGAGCGAGAATCAAGTGCCGATTAACGATGATGATGACAATCTTCTAAACTTTGATAACAAGACTGGCGAAGTAGTTGTGCGCAATTTCAGCAGGAACTGGAAGAGTGGACGCAACGAGCTTTTTCGAAGAGTAAGTCATTTTGTTGTTTTGACCTCCTATTTTTATTGAAAATGAATTTTTAGACGTTGTTTTACTCCGATTTGATAGGGTTTTCCACATCCTTAGAACTCAAGACTTGTGGACACACTGTGCACATGAGGTGCTTCAATGCCTACAGAGAGACTCTTCGAGTGAGATTTTCTCTGTTTTCTTTTCCTTCTGTGGATTGTCTCTTCATTCCCTCAATTTTTTCAGAACGACCTACGTGTCAATGACTCGCGCCGTTCATCTCGAGATGTTTCTTGTTTCTTGTGTAGATTCAGCGTAAATGCACTTCTACCTTTGCGAATCGATTGGGGATTTGAAACTTTGCATAAGGACACACTGGCCGACGATAGGCAGAAGGTAGCCTTTATGTCCATAAAGTGTCATGCGTTTAAAAAATCTCATTTCTAGGCTTTTGATTCATTGAAAGAAGTGATTGTGAATTGGAGAAGGGTTCCACAGGTATGTTTTTGGTGATTATGCTCTGT